AGTCAACGAGGCTATCGTCATTTTTAAATGTTGTAAATAAAACAGCAATATTTCTCGTCAAAAGCAACATTTTTTGTATGCTCAGCTTCATGTGTTCCAGTTCCCTGGACCGTTTCTCTGTTCAGAACAAAAAGGGGAGTTCATGGGTGATTTCCATCAAAACATAAAAACCTCGAATATAGCAATGAATAGATTTTGTACTCATTCGAAAATTTCGCACTAAGTAATCAATTGTCATATAATGTGAAGGAAGAATTGTTTAAGTCGAAAGTATGCATTGGAAATACTCAATGCTGTCAGAAGACTTCTGTGGGAAATTGTGATATCCCTTTGAAGCAGAAGGCCTAATCTTTTCATTTTAAGTTGCATTTGGGGATCCGCAAAACAGATTCTGATTCAGAACTAGCCCCGAAGGAATGTAGGTTCGTGCAGGTTTAGCCAATCAGAGGGTAGTTTATTAGAATTGTCGAGTTATAAGAAGCACTTGATTGGTGCATTCTCTTCTAGTCTGGGGCCTAGAGAATGGGCTTATAAGAAAAATCGATGCCACAAAATTAGTAAACACGCCAAAATTATCATATATTTTATAGAAGTAAACCTAAAACCTATTGCCCCACTAGCCCTAATATAATGCAAGAGCCGCCACTGGCTTGTTCAGAAGTCGCATTAATCCTGATATTTATATATTCAACCTTTTTAAAGAATCCATACTGTCGATATCCTAAAGACTTCAAGCAATCTGGAACCCAACCTACATACATATTTGTCAGTCTTCTTTCAAACCATTTCTATTAGAAAGCATATATCATTCTCTGCATTGTTCTATCTATTTTGTCTGCTAACATCATTTTCCACAGCTTTCCTCTAAGTGCCTTACTAATGAGTATAAATTTGACGATATGAGTTTTGCGCAAAAGTGTGACCAGACATGACGAAATCTGCCTAGAAAGTTGTGTATCCTTAGAGAAGCAAAAAGAACAGCAAGGGTACAGAAATGAGCCTTGTGTGATCGCACCACATCACAGCTACAGGACACACAGGGAACAATAGGTCATGCACAGATAATAGTTTTTATGATAAACTGCCAGCTTACAAAACCACTTCCTTAAAAACAAGAATTGCAGTATTGGATCTTTTTCAAACTTGCTGAAATTAGAGAATAGATCTATATTTATTTTAGCTACATTTTATTTGATAATGAATACTACATTTTGTCATCGAAAAAGAGAAACCAAGCATATCATGGAACAGATAAGATTAGACATAGTGGGCTCTACCTAGATATATCAAAAGGGCTACCAGAATATGTTTGAGCAAAACGAAAAAACAACCTGCCCTTTCGTCTTGCCAATTGCCAAACGCATGCTGTTTGCAATTTTTCTTTATACCGAGGTCGACCTTTTATTTTTTTGTGACTTTCCATAATTTTTTCAGTATCAAATTAAAATTGTTCTGAAACGATGCGTTTTCGAAACATACTCTCATTTACAACTCTGTTTTGAAAAACCTCGCTTTTCCTGCGATTTTCTTTGTCTAGATGGATACAATTAGAGCTAAAACAGATAGATTCTATTTTTTGTAGAAAAACTTCTAAAACAAACAGGACAACGATCAGCCAATACAAATGTTAAACAAAGAAGGCTTGCCAGCACAACATTTGCCATTTCTTACGCAAACCTTTAATATGAATCAAATTTATTAAAGTCGGGTCTGAAAAATAGCAGGTGTTGTCGCATTCTCTGGCAAATATTGCGCGCCTGAATTGTTTTGAAAAATTTGATGCTCTAGTTTGACACCTTACGTCAAAACTTGGATGGCTAGACATTATGTTTGTTTGAAGTGTAATCATAAGTTGCTCGAATGATTGTTGAAGAATTTCCAAAAAAGGTTTTGATATCAAATATCGTTAAGGTACCGTAAAAGAAAATATTCCAAGAATAAAGACTAAATTCGTTTAAAAAAGTTAAATACGATTTACGCTCATTGATCAATTATTGAATCAGCCTCAATTTTTTGATTGCAATTGAAACTGTAATCCCCTATCAATTCTTCTCACGTTTTAAACTCCAAAAAATATTCAAACGAAAATAAACAGCGACTTGAAATACGTTTCAAGCTCAATCTCAAAGCCTCGATGCATTGCTATTAGCATTTGAACACAGATGAGTAAAGTCATTTCTCATCTGCATACAAACATCAACAAAAACACTCCAAAACGAACCTAACTTGATACAAAAAATTGACAACGAATATACAGCTAGTATCTGGGGAGCATACTGCTGACTTTGAAGAGATATTGCATACTAAATGTACAGTGATCCAATTGGTTGAAATTCAGCGAGGCTTCCCTCTGTAGAGCGTTCAATAATCTTGTGATAAAACAGAATGGAGGCCATTAAGGTTTTGTCAACAACAAATGGATGCAAAATTCGATACAAAATAGAAGCACAATGACAAGCAGCAATTAGCATAAGTCATCTGGTTTCGCAATGCGAAGTGCGAACCTCCTATTGTAAAAAGATATCAACATTTTCTTCAGATTTTCTTGAAGATAAAAGACTTATTTTTGAATACAGAATGATAATTTTCTTATGACCAGCACTGGTATAACGACTTTCCAAAATATGAGGAATCTGAACTGTTATTAAAGATTGAAATGGCATTAGCATTGCTCGACAAAATACTGCACAATAAAAGGTGAAATTATTTTTAAAAATTAGAGCCAGGTGGCGTTAACTTTGTTATTTTTTGCGATAATCCGAATTCTTTCGCCTGAATTATTCATGCTTATCCTTTCTAGCCGTTAATTTTAAAGTCTCTTATACCGCTTTTATGGAGATTTCCCAAGGCTTAAAGTGTTTTTCAATGTATTCAAATAGTTTATTCAAGCTTGAAAATTCTAATTACAAGTTGTTAGCTATTGCTGTATCACAAAATCTAAATGTAAACATAATCTAGTGGACATTTGACATATACATGCAACACTGCAGGCTGCAGCTTTCTGGACACACAAATAGGACAGTGTTGAACTGAGAAATAGTCAGTGTTGAACTCTGTATGGAAAATAATTTGCATTCCGGTCCCCTGTGACAAAACCAATTGTTTTGTACTAAGTTGTATGATTTATTTCATGTTAGTTGTTACAATAATGGGGAAGCACTAATTCAGACTAACATAAACAGTTTCGAGGATTGCTAAAGACAGTTTATTTATTACAAAAAGAAGACGTGAATTTATTTTAATGGTACCAATACAAGGTCTATTTTAAGGAATTTTTATCATGAAAATATTCACAGTATTTGAAGATTTGAGTGTTGCCTTTTAAAAATATTCATGACCACACCTATCAAACTAGCTGTATGTTAAAATTGTGAATTTTACCGGCACTCATCGATGCCTCGCAAGAAATTTTGAAGGGGAAAAGTAATCTAAGTATAAACATGTTTTTGAAAATAAAGATATCAAAGGAGAAGATGAAGAACGAACCAAGCTAGATAGATTCTAGCTACTGAACAAATTTCAGATAAATTTTATAGATTATGATCATTGATTCTGTTTTGTTTTCGTCTTTAATACTGTAATGCTCTTTTTTTTAAATGCCTATTGGTAGTTGCTGCAATTTTACTTTTTCAATGCGACGTCTCTTTATTCTAGTTTTATCACTGCACAGAATGAGTTTATCACTGCACAATTACGATTTTTTATCACTGCACAAATTGGTTATCGCTGCATGTTAAAATAAACCCTTGTACCAAGTTTTAAACAGATTCTTGAATTCTTTTGAATTTCGGGTTGTTTTGGTTTCACCTGGAAGTGTGTTTCAGACTTTCGATCATTGAAATCCGAGCAATCTGATGCTAAAGTTTACAGTTGCGTGACACTCTGTATCAAAAAGGGATTTTGGACAACTCGTTAGTTTAGGCAAAAGTAGTCCTTCATAAAAACTCCCATATGCTTTGCTATTCGCTTGAGGGAATGTAACTGCTTTGCTGCCGTTCTTTCAAATTTGATCGATATGAGTGTCAAACGTGAAATGTTCGTCAATCTCAACTCCAATTAATGTAACATGCAAACAATCTTTTGGTGGTAGAAAACTTGAAAATGGCTTTGAAAAAAGCAAACATTTGAGTAAACTAAAGCTTTTCGTCTGACACTCTTCAGAGTTTAAAACGTCTGAACATAGATCGAAAACTCCAGGCTAGAAAATATATACACTCAACAACAAAGGATAAAGCACTCAACACAAACCACGACATTTGAGAGCTAGATTGCCAGATTTATCACGGGTTCTTGTCAAGAGAGTCTTAATCAAAGCTCAAAGCCAAATTTCAATCAAAATCGTATTCCCAGTATCGCAGCGTCGATTCGCTCTGGTCGCGCGACTTTGGCGAAAGCGAATCAACAAATCAGACCCTGTTTACACGAGAGAAAATGGAACGGCATCCTAGCTTCTGTTTCTGTGTGTTCTTGTCGAAAATAAATATGAACCATGCGATTATCTGATTCACTGATTTTGGCGCCAAAAACGGCTTTTGCAATGTACGAAGAATGAAGAGGAATGGCACTTCGATATTATGAGTTGGCGATGATGACAAAACTAATGATGATGACGATGACGATTATGATGATAGCTCGGTTAACCTGGCTAAAATCAGCTCGCTATCATATGAAGTTTTCCCAGCCCGGTTTGACGGGCTGAAGAAAGTCACGTGACATTTGCATGGTAACGTTCTTTACGTTGCCCGTCAAGATTTCAAAAATGGCTGACAACAAAGAGAACATATCTGCGGCTATTGTATCTTTATCATCTCTACGAGTGAACGCCGCCCCCGTACGAGCGCCGCCCCCGTACGAGCGCCGCCCCCGAATGAGCGCCGCAGTTATCTTCTTGTATATGCGGCGCTTAATCGAAAAACTGTAAGAATCGTTAGAGTCAAACAAAAAACTGCAAATCTTAAATCAACCTCGCAAATTTATTTTCTTGTATCAAAACACACTTAGTTCAAAGTGAAAATATTTTAAAGCTTTCTTATTTAACTCTCTCTTCAGATTCTTGGCAATGTGTACATCTGTCGTGAAGGCAGAGAACTTTGCTGGAACAACAAGGCCAATTTCTTTTTCTTTTTCCTGTACCTTGTGCGATCTGTTTATTTTCTGTGTTTGCTTCGAGAAAATTCTTCATCAAGCGTGACAACTTCACCGGAACATGACCAACAAGCATTCAGTTGGTCTCCGACAGTGAAGACAACAGTGACATTGAAATTTTATGAACCTTTAAAGGTATTTTTAAATTTGTATGTTTTACTGTTAAATGATTGTTTAAAACTTTTTTGTTTTATTAAAAAATGGCAGGGTTTTTAAAAAGCACCGCCCCGAATAAGCGCCGCTTCAAAAGTACCGGAAATTAAAAGAGCGCCGCGGCGCTCACTCGATTAAATACGGCAATGATCTCGCGGCAGTGCAATTACTTGATTACGAAGGGGAATCTTTTGTACCTAATTGCGACCGGGCAAACTTTTAATTTCGTAAACTTCCAAGTTGCGAATTCAAAGATTTCTTCAACTCGGCAATTCAACTATTTGATTAAGAAATGTAGTCACAAATCGCAAGATTATTAATTGATTATTCGCGTAACTATTGGTCTCGTAACCTCGGAAGTTTAACAAATTTCCATTGTTTCTATGTTATTGCTACACCAAACTACCTTATCCAACATATTCGCCCTTTCTTTATAAAACATGGGGTCTGAAGAATTTCGAGTGAATTTTGGATCAACCCCAGAGAAAATTGAAAAGTCCCTGCAAGCGTTTTGCAAAAATTTTGCAAAGCCTGGAAACCTTCGAATAATTTTCGCCAACTTTGCAAAACTTGCGAAAAACTAAACAGATTTGTAACACTTTCCCGCCCTTGCTTCAGAATCTTCAAATGTCCCAAGTGCCTTTCCAGGTCTCATGCATGAAAGTTAATTCTTGCAGAAACTCGTGAAATCGCATATTGCCGCACTTTCTTTTGTACCCCACATAGCAAATTGCAAATTATACGCCTAATTATGTTGACGACGCTGAACAAGATGAAACAACCATTCTCAATTACGAGAAGTTTCTGATCTATTCTGGCTACCGTTCAACATGCACGTGCAGAACCAATTATAACTGCACAATGTGACGAGCAAATCTAAAGACGATTGGTCGAATCGAAGAGGATGACTATAAAGGGGATCGCACGCTAGCAGCCGAACCCAATTTAATAGCATGATTAAAGACCAAAGTGTTGATTAGCGAACCTTAATTGCCTACTTAATCGGGAAACTCACGATTCTCGATTGTTCGTTTGGGAAAATTGGGAAAATCCTTTGATTTCGGCTTTCTATGCGTGCATTGTTTCGATTGTCTCAGGCCTTTGAATTCGGCCTGTGCGTGTCCATTGTTCGAGTCATGAAAATGCCGATCCATTGTTACACGGTTGGCTACAATTCTACAAATTGATAGATATTGATAGATATGTAAAACCTTTCGTACCAACTTCTGTATTTATACGAGGAATATCTCAGTGTATCAACATCTCCTGAAGATTGAGTTATTCACGAAACAGGCTTGTAGAGATAAAACATGTAGTTTTTTTTTCTCCCACTCTATGCTATATTACACTCTACGTGCAAATGTATTGTGCACTGTCCTACGATATTGAGAGATATATATATACCTTCCTTTCGGTTGATCGAGCACCCCCTCTTCATGTACTCATTCTTCGTACATTATAAAACACTGAATTGTCATCACAGTCCAAGAATGATTATCCTATGTGGAGGTATTTGAAATGCAGCAAACATGTTGCCTTATGATCAACCTGAGCTTGATTTCAGGTGTAACAGTTTAATACCGTTTGTTAAACACACAGATGGTATTTTCATATCTGCTTATACGGCATCGGTTTTCCTCGTTACCGACTAGTTAAAAAATCTTTCTTTTAGACACTTATAAGTTTGTGTTGATGTTTATGTGTACGTACAGACTTGTAATAAGAATTGAATTTTTTGTAACACGCCAGTAAAACTTGCCATACATTTTTTTCTCACTGAGTATGCACGTGGAAAGACAGGTTGCCCATGAAAAATTCAGATATTTTAATAAAATGATACGTTAACCTGGGGATTTATCAAGATTAGTAAACCAAGAAGCAGAATCAACAAACGTTATGTTAAAAACACTTGGAGTGAACCAGAATCTCATTTCAGTCATACTTTCTTTGATACGTAACACGTTGCCGCGTCTTATGGAATAAGCATCTGGTTGATAGATTAAAAAGAACTGTTTTGCGACTAAAAGCCATCCTTTAGTTTGTTGAAGGTACCATTATATCTAGGGAAGATTAGAATTAATCTACATACTTGATTAAACTCTTGTTGACTTCGCACAGTTGATGACATCGCACTGTGGTTTTATGATGGAATGGTCAGTCTTGAGGCAGCCCTCTGAGAAGGAGCAACAGGGCAGATTTTCAAAGGTCAAAATCTTTAGGGGCCCTAAAAAGTGAGATCAAATTCAAAGTCTCTAATAACCTGAACGTACTCCACTCGGTTTCTTGATCAAATTGTTAAATTTTCAGATGAGCGCAACCATAGTATTTTCATGGTTACCTTAATTAGCAGACTATTATAAAAAATTGACACTAAGACCTAATTCATACGTATGCGGACAATTTCGAATCTACAAATTTTTCTTCTCGGATTCAAAAATTTTCGAGAATAAACCAGAATTTCATTCTCACTCTTCTCATGACACCTTTTTCTCTTTCTCTTAATCTTATTTGTCTTTTGGTTCGAAACAGGCTTATTCCTACCAAAGAACACATTATGCGACGTGTAAATAACGATTTTAACTGCGCTTGTGCAAATGTGCGATTTTAACTTTGAAATGCTCTAGTCTTTCGAACAACTCCCCAACAAGTTCACAGGCAGCGAATTCAAATCGAGTCCGGTCGTCCACACTCATTCAGATTCACTGTAATTGTAACAGCTCATGTGTAAACATTTCATTCAGAGCATGTGTCATGATGCGCTGGAGCCCGATTCGAGCGTCCACAAGTCAGCAGATTCATAGCGTATTCAAAAATTTCAACTCGAGAGAGCAAATTCCAAAATTTGCAGATACGATAACGAATTCGTCGACTACGTTGGGACGCAAGCCTCATCTGCAAACAAAGAAAGCTTTTGCGGATTGAGGCCAAGACTACAGTGAAATTGCATTCAGTCTTCGGTCATTAGTCAACTTAAATAGGCTGGGTCGCGTGTAATGCTGCGGGACAATGTTGTTGTGTTGATGCTTGTGGATGGAGTGGATCCACCACAGCAACTGTAGTGAGATTTAGAAGGAAAGGGAATCGCAGCAAATTCCTTTATATCATTGTTAAAAACACGAAAACAAAATACGAAATTCTGTACCGTCCACAGCAGAAATAGACACGATGTCATCTGGTTCTGGCTATAAACGGCACCTAACAAGTACAGTAACCATAATCTTATAAAAGAAACACGTTTTGAACCATGACACCATTTCATTTGGCAGGCGCTTGCATGCGCCAGTTTAGGGCAGGCGAATCGTGGATTTAGGGTCGATTACAGGTCTATTAATGACGGCATTAGATAACAAGATACAAAGGTTAAGGTACGCGAGATGATGCGGGAAGCTGTACATTGCAGCGCATCGAGAAGATTTTTACGTTTAATGAATAATATTTTTCCATCGCCCAAGCCGTCACGATTGATCTCATACTCTGATTTCACAACGTTACATTTATCAGTCCACAAAAAGTAGCCTCGTCGTACTGCAGCGGGAGCATGGGAAGAGAACTTAGTAGCGGGTTGTTTTGCGGAAGGGACAGGACAAAGAAGTCGGTATGGGAAAGCAAAGGCTCACAAAAAGTGGAAACGTTTAAGAACGATTCAGACTAGGCAGCAACGCTTCACGCATAGAGATTTCATAGTCTGTCAATTTTCTGACTCTGTGCCGTTTAAGATTGGCGAACAAAATCCTTTTTACACGCAGGCTGTCGCGCACAAAATTTTTTTACGGCACGTTAACATACCTTTTTAATTATCTTCTGTCCGTGGACGTCGTTACACGAGTTACACGGGGTTTGGTTTCACCTTGGATTCCAGTCACAAATGCAAAGGAAAAGCCCTTTACTTTTTGAAGAGATAACGCGACGCCGGAGAACCTTAATTGTTTTGCGCCAATTTTACTTTTCCGTTCCTGTTAAGCCCGCCGCATGCGGTAGATTTTTCAATGATCATTTTGAGATTGAAAGACGAAACCATTGACACTGATATACAATGCATCTTTAGAAAGGGGCATTTTCCCCCAAATCTGGAAATTAGCCAGAGTAACACCTATTCATAAGGCGGGCACAAAAACAGATGTAAACAATTACCGGCCTATCTCAGTGTTATCAGTTTTGTCTAGAATTCTAGAAAGATTGTACACGACCAACTAATGGAGATTCTAAAGAGACAAAACAGGCTTTGCTTAAAACCAGTTTGCGTTCCAAAAACTGCACTGTACAATGACATGTCAATTGAATGTTATAGACCCCTGGTTCAAGAACTCTGATGAAGGGAAAATAAACTTAAGTATATTTCTTGATCTCAAAAAGGCATTCAATACCGTTGTCCATAAAATCCTATTGTCGAAGTTACGAGAGCATGGTGCTGAGGGCACTTCCCACAGCTGGTTCACTTCTTATCTGACCAATAGGGAGCATTTCTGTTATTTTGACGGATCCACTTCCAGCAAAAGCAGCATTGAGTGCGGTATTCCGCAGGGCTCGTGTTTGGGACCCTTACTCTTCATACTATACATTAATGATTTTGAGAATTGCCTAAAAAGCACGATCCCAAATATGTATGCTGATGATACATGTGTGAATATCGCGTCAGAAAATCTGAATGAACTCCTAACAGATTTGAAAAACGAGCTGGAAAATATACCGAATTGGATGAGGATTAACATACTTAGTTTGGACATCAGCAAAAGTGAATATATGGTTATGGGCCGTAGGCGACAACTAAACAAAGTAGGTAATGATTTGCCAGACCTTGTCCTCGCTAATGAAGTTATCAAAAGGGTTGACAAAACAAAATACTTGGGGATCAACATCGACGAAAGCCTTAATTGGAGAGAGCAGTACAAAACTATTAAAAACAAGCTGAAAGGGGGTTGAGCTCCTTAAGAAAGTTGAACAACATCCTTCCGCAAAGGAAACTTGATCAAGTTTACAAAGCTCTCTTTGAAAGCCATCTTCGCTATGGCAACATTGTTTGGAGTGCTCTCTCCAACACCAAACCATCACAACGGCAACGTTTAGGGAAAAAGGCTAATTGTGAATGCCAAGTAAAAGGACGGATGGACTTGCAAATGGCTCACTGTAAAGTCTTGATCTCCTTTGACCAAGAAGTCATGACATATAGAATCTTGCATGACCTCTGTCCCGAAAATCTTCGCTATAAATTCACTGAAAGATAAATGATTTCAGAGTAAAGAACCAGAAACCGTGGAGACCTACAAATTCCCACAGTTAGGTTAGAGTATACAAAGCGAGGTTTCTATTTCTCTGGTGTCAAAAACTGGAATGATATCCCTAACAACATTCAAGAAAAAGAATCCATCGCTCGTTTTAAAACAGGTTTTAGAGAGTATCTTTCGAACCTTTCACAGGTCCCAAACACGACCCCTTGGTAGAGCAGTAATATGCAAATAGTTTTTCGTTTTAATAGTTCTTTTTTTGGTAAATAAGTTATTTTTTTGCTGAAAGGTATCTCGAGTAAATAAATATTGATTGATTGTGAGCGTTTTAACGGGGCTTAAATTATAAGACGCCAGATTACATCTCACTTTTTTCTGCGTCCCTGTGACACGACGCCAGACTGCTGCGCACTGCGCACTGCGAATAGCAAGAAACGTCAATATTATGACAATTCAATACATAGGCAATCAGTTTTTAAACTCTGGAGCGAAAACAAATTCGGATTGAAATGCGAGTAAGTCACTTTCCCTTGCAGAGCGGGGACACTCTTATTCCGTTTGGGCAACCCTTCGGTTGGCCTAAATGCCGTGTAACTAAAGTCCTGTCCAAAGTTAACCCAATACGGCATCGTGTAACTCACAAGGTTTGATACTCGCGGCGTTTTAAATGAGAATGCTGCAAGCACTTCATAGCAGCAGTGATTAGCTCATTTCTTCAACTTTTCAATTCTATTGTGTCATTTATCGTAAATCTACAAAACACAAAACGATGTGAGAATAATTTATGCTGGCATGATCAACCCATACAGGCAGATCAAAGGGTAACATTTCAAGGTAATAGGGTCTTTTTTTGCTATACCAAACCACCTTTATACTTGTAATACATTGGTGTGGCTGTCTCACCCATTGCATTCTGCTATGTGATTGTTAGCGTTTTATGCGCATGTCTTAGATAAGACAACAGGTTGGGATTTAAAGTTTTTGATTCTAACTTTGGTGTGTTATGTTGTCCAACAGATCTTCGCCATCTAAACGGGCGTACCGTTAGCAGTAGTACTCTCAACAGTGTTGACTATCTTGGAAAGAACTAACTGCACTTGTTAAGAATCTTTTCTATTTTGATTATAAATCAGGTACACATCAAGTACCTGCTCGCTCATCATGCCTCATGCGATACTCTAGGCGAGAACACAATTTTTAGCTTAATCAGTACAATATTACAACGCCACCTAAAGCCAATTTTCAGCACTTTAAGGCTAATACTAATGTTTTGGTAGATGCCACGCCAATTTGAAAAGGCACTTATGAACAGGTGACTAGAGCAAGATGACTGCGACGGAGCCCTTTATGCATGTTTAGACCTTGTTTGGATGTAAAATTTCAAGCTCTACGCAGCTGCTCGGGATTATAAATAGCAATTTTCGCCAACGAAGGACACTTTTGTTGCTGCCAGGAAACGTGAAGGCTGCATATGACATAAGCGCGTAGCTAGTAAGTATCTCGGTTGATTAAACTGGGTTTCTTTCTAAAATTTTAGTTTTAATAACTCTTTCCATGCTGTGCAACATCGCTATAAATTATGCTTGCTTTTCTGCATTTTAATTTGATGAAAACAATCAAAACGTTTATGGAGAAAGTAACCAAAGGCTTCGTTTCTAGCTGCAATAGTCATTCAAAAACTGTGCCAGACTTTATATTATGACTTGGAGGTCTTGAAAGTTTGTGGTTGCTGGCGGATAAAGGGGTTACCAGAAAGTTGTATTGAATGATAGATAACGGAAGGAAGTTTCGCTGGTCTGAAGCCTTTTTGACCAGAGGCTGACCAGCTCAACGGATTCTTCAGTAATTTGCTCGCGTTCTTATTAGCATGCAATTTAAGTATGTTTTCATTGCAACTTGGTGTATCTCTTTGATCAAATTATCAAATCATCTGCGATAACAACATGAACAAATTGATGTTATCTTTTGCAAATAGTTTTAGGCTTACCTTGATTAGAATCCAAATGATAAGATATGTTGACGACATCTTCCTGTTGAAACCAAAAGGTGGCTATTAAACGAGAGAATTGCGAGTAGCTCATTGCTACAGTTACTAACACAATTCTTCGGCATACGAACATTATGATGTTTTTCTTCTAAATCCACAAGAAATTAAACAATGTTGAAATCATTTACTCTTGATGTTAAAGCAAACCGTGGGATCGAAAACCCATTTTCATGGCGAAAGATTAATAGGTAAGCTGAAAATGAGCAAGTTTAGTGTGTAAAAAGATTGTTTAGCATGTAAGAACACTGTTTGTAACGCTCTAATCATTAAACATTAGTTTTTGTGATATATGATAGTCTGTTTTAAGTTTTGAGACTTGACAGGAGGTTGAAGACTAGCGTCTGTACATAAATGCAAAATCTGTCAGATTCATTAAAAATGTTGACCTATAGCATAAGGATATTTTTTATACTTTTATCGACTGAGATAGCGTAAAAGGTAAACAGATCTTGACTGACATTTGATTATTCCTTCATTATTACTATTCCAACAGAAATATTTGCATAGGAGAAGCAAAGCCCTTGAGGCAATCTACTGAAGAAAAGATGAACACATTGACTAAATTAAACTATCAGTTTTTACGGTATCAATGTTTATGCGAAGAAAAAAAGAGCTGCCAAAAATGCTGTTTTGTGTGTTCGATAAACGTGTCCGCTCGCCATACACGAGGCCATACCGATTTACTGCCTAGCGACTGGTAAACAAGCTCTCTCCATTGTAGATACAAGGATATTGCAACTTTTTCACCTTTACCGTCTCTCATTTATTTAATGGCAGTTCAATGTGTCAAAACTGCCAACTTAGAATGTCCAAAATAAGTAACTTAGTGCCTGAGAGTCTTTTTACATGGGGATGGCCATCTCGCTTCAATGGGATTGTTCCTAAGGGTGAGATCGTCCAAACAAGAGACTGTTTCATCCAACTCACGTGGGCTGGCCTCTTAGAACTTGTAAGCAAGATCTTGCTTCTGTTTTGTCACATAAATAATCACAACAAGATCTTAGCGGAAAACGGAATTTGATGTGATGTATCAAATTTGATGCGATTGGGAAATCTATCGAAAGGATTCGATGGATTGGCTCGTTACATTTCATTTGAGCAAATACAATGGTTTCTTTTTAATAAAATTTTCTCCGTTATTCTGAGGTTTATTTTTTTCAGTTATTATCGATTCGGAGAGGTGAACTAGTTTGGCTCCAACTTCTTCCACGTATAGATATTCATCCCATTTAAGTTGGCCAGCACATCTCACCTTATTTACATGGATAATATTCACCCCAGGAATCCTATTTACTATTCTCGTGAAATACACATAAGCTGTCTGAGCCCGCTTTTTTTTATTCAAACTTGGAATAACAAAAGAATGTATACAACGCACGAATCTCACTCAGGCAAGCTGGCCCACTTAGGCTGGCTAGACAGGCCCTAAATTGAGAAGTGGTGCAGAAAATCTGCCTAAAAAGCCTCTTTCTGGACTCCCAAAGCACCAATGATATCAAGGAAAACTTTTTTGCTAACGATAAATATAGCCTATATTACGCCGAACTGAAGGCCTGAAATCTTTTTTGTCTCACTTAAGTGCAAGAAGTCACTGCTTCGATGATAAAATATCTGAAACCAAATCCGGTACCAAGTCAAAGATTTTAGGCTTGAATTATTTAAGATCTAAAGACATGATGAGATTGATGTACGTAGCGGTTTAAATATTATAAGAGTTTTTGTTTGATATATGTAAAAGAAATAGTTTCAGTTGGTCGTTTCTCTGATCAGAGAACAAATGGAACTAGTCACGCGCCAGCTGTTGAGAGTAAGTTGACCAAAGACGACGAAGGGCTGCAGGGAAGGGGGAAAATTGCCAAGAAAAATAGCAAAATAATAAAAATCTGCTGACTTTTGCAACTGCAAGGGGGCAATCAACAATTGCAGCAATCTAGACGGGGTGAACAAAACAACCAATTTTACACTGTGCTTTCTTTTCTGCAATGGGGAACGCCCAAGGCTAGCATTTTTTTACGTAAAGGTATTTTTAACATCATACAGTTACATAACAAAGAATATTTTGCAAAATATTGCCCCTCTCCCAACATTTTCTCGTTTAATTTACAGGAAATGCAAATTCGATCCTCCATACAACTTGCGCCATGCATTTGTGTGCTTGTGCTTGAATCAAGTTCTCTGCCTTCAAAATGTGATCTTGTCAATCATAAATTCTGATACCGGCAAGCAGTTAATTGAAATGAATAAATGCTAGTAGAAATCGGAGAAAATGGGTTTGCTATGCGTTTGGTTTTAAAACAAGGCAGTTGCTGCATATCCCACTTTTGTCAGAATATCTTAGAATACCAATTTCATGCGTTATCTACTCCTTACTAATAGTTTCATAAAGAGGTTTGGCACCCTCGATTAAATTCAGTTCAATTCATTCAATTCAGTTCAATTCAATTTTTTCAAGTTTACCAGAAAAAATAATTCCATTTAGAAGCAATTCAGTTCAATTCTTTAATCTTTTTAAAGCTCCAATTAAATTGAAAAATTTATACGTGAGAACTTTTAATGGAAATTTACAACCTTCTTGCAGAAAAGAAAACTTCTTCGGGGATTATCTTTCGTAGAATATGATGCTTACAAAAAGCTGAATTTACCATGAAACATTGTATTCACCGTGCAGACACAAGCTTTCAATTCCCTTACCACAACCACATTACCCAAAAAGATAATCGTTATTACGTATTTTCCTAATTCCTAACCAAGGAAATTTTGAAGGCATCATAATTGCTACTTGCTTCTCAAATGAGGCGAGTTTAAGGTTGATACTTGCAATCACTTTGAAAATCTTGAAACATCAACCTTAATTTTCAAGGCAAATTCATTCCTGTCTCTCTTTAAGCAATCTTACTTTCCTTGACATGCATTAAAAATTCTTTGATAACTTATGCAGCTATAGCCTCTGCTAAAGGAGTTCATTGGGTTGTCTTCTATGTGCTAAACATTCTTTTTGCGTAATTCAAATTTCATCTAAGCAAAAAAATAATTGCACCGTTGGGGCAGACGCAATAGCATGTTGTCATTTCGTGTGTTCTTAGTCATTAATTCGAAGTGGTTTCCATAATGTTCACATTCACATGCCTAGCCATTAAGACACATGTCTCGCTCAGTCTCGTAGTTGTCCGGTGTCCGATAGTAGGTATGACGTTAGCTGAAGCGCACAAATTCCCAAACACTTTTGGTTTTTAGATGTTGGTATATATAGCTTGATTCGATTATAAGATGATGGCATTTTGACGATTTACAAATGTTTTGTTCTTTGTTTTTAGCTCTTTGGAAAGTGCAATATAGCATACTTTCTGTTTTACCTTCTTTTCTATCTATGGTCCGAACGATCAACATTTTTCCAAAGGGCACGGGGTTTGAAGGGGAGGGGGAAGGTTTGCGGTAGCATTGATAAGATGAAAAGGAAAAATATATATATATATATATATTTATCTGGGTTAATCTGAAGACGACCATGTAACGGTCGAAACATGTTAGCACTGCACTGAAAATGAAAAGAGCGCAAAAAATCAAATTGATGTCTATTTCTTTAAAGAGTATCTGCCTTCTTCTACTTGAGTATCGTGCACTTTATATATATATATATATATATAATTCGATCAAAAAAGGAGATGGGGATCGTTATGATAAAATTACGGAGGAGCATCCGCAGGTCCCTAAATACCCCGCTACCTACGCTACCTAGAGAAAACATCGGTTATAACGTGCTCATATATAGCTTACTTTTCGGTTTTAGTGTATTTTGTCTTTGGCTCTTTTAAAAAAATTTCTTCGGCTCCAACGTATCTCTCTTTGCATCTATGTTTAAAAATATTGTGTCAATTATTCGTCGCTGTATTCAAGTGCCAATAATTCTTGATTTAAGCTATACAAATTTTTCATTGTTTCTTCTAACCTATTTATAATGATATAATTTGTATGAGAGAATTGCCTTGCGGTGCGGCTCTTGGTGAATTTCCCTAAATTGTCCGTTGAGTCTCTAAGACTCGTGCGTACATCTGTTCCTTTATTTCTTAGGTCATGCAAAATTTCCAACAAATTTCATTATCTGTCCAAATGACGATACATGATCTGACTATTCATTGTCATACCTATTTTGCATGTTAGAATTTGACGACATATCGCACCATCATTAAAATGCGAATGATGATGAAGCTAAACTGATTATGTTCCAAAGATTAGATCATCTTCAGCTGATCTAAATTTGCAATCATAGCAAAGATATAATGGGCCTGAGTTTTGGTATCGTTTCAATCACATCATGAAATTTTTATTAGTTTGTGTCTGTAATTTATCTAATTACAAACATCTGTCTAAAAGAGTTTTAGTTGCATGTGTTAGAGTAAGTGATAAGCTGATATACATCTTTCACGCGTCAGAGACTTTTTGGAGAGACTCACAAAACCTAGAGAGGAGCAATGTGCTTTTTCCTAAGTTCTCTTTTTTGATTCCATCTGAGTCCTTAAACTCATATAACTTTCTTCATCAAGCAATCCTGTGAAACTTTGCATTTTAAGAGCAGGTTATCATACAGACGCTGCTAGCTTTATAAGCAACATCATATCGAATAGCTTTTAACGCATAGAATTTCAGGCTTGACATCTTTGCAAGAATTAAACGATTAGAGATAATGCGTTATTTTGCTGGTGATGCCTGAAGAATTTCAAAATATCTCGTTTTATCTTTGAGAAAAGCGTCGCCTAACGAGACGGCCAGGACAGATGGGCAAAACATCTTGCATGGTTACGTCGTTTGGATTTTCAATAGATTATGCATCCGTTTGGTGGGCTACAGATCACAATCGTACCATGGAAAGTTACTTGGAGTAATAGAGGAAAGAATTTATTCCTGTCTTTGTATGGTGTTCAAAATTTTGTTTCAAGGAAATATGTAGGATGGATGTAGTCTGCTTGTCAATTTGTCTCTCGTTTA